CCCAAAACCACCCAAAATCACCCCAATACCACCAAAATCACCCCAAACCCAATAAAAATCACCCCAAAACCAATGGAAATCACCCTAAACCCACCCAAAATCACCCCAATCCCACCAAAATCAACCCAAAACCACCGAAATCACCCTAAAACCAGCCAAAGTCACCCCCAAAAGACCTGAAATCACCCTAAAACCACCCGAAATCACCCCAATACCACCAAAATCAACCCAAAGGGACCCATAACCACCTCCAGAACACCTGAAATCACCCCCAAAATCACCCCAAAACCACCCAAAATCATCCCAAAACCAACAGAAATCACCCAAACCCCACCCCAAATCACCCCAATACCACCAAAATCAACCCAAAAGGCCTCAAAACCACCTGGGCCCCACGGGGCCCGGGGGGGTCCCACAGTGGTTTTTTTGGGGGGAGGCTCACAGTTTTAGGGTGTTTTAGGATGTTTTGGGGTGTGGCCTCCCTGAATGCCCCCCCTGTGCCCCCGCAGTGTTTTTTGGGGGGGTGGGGGCTCACAGTTTTGGTGTGTTTTGGGGTGTTTTGGTGTGTTTTGGTGTGTTTTGGTGTGTTTTGGGGTGTCACCCCCCCTGACTGTGCCCCCCATGCCCCCTCAGCGGCCGGGCCGGGGGCAGGAGCGGTGCCAGGGCTCCCTGGTGTCCCCCTATTTCGTGCTGACGGCGGCTCATTGCTTCGGCCTCGAGGACAGCGCGGCCTGGATGGGAGTGGACATCGGTAGGGGGGGTTTGGGGGCACCCCAAAAATGGGCTGGGGGCACCCCAACGGGGGCTGGATGGGTGGGGATATCGGTATGGGGGGGCTGCACCCCCGGGGACACCCCAAAAACGGGCTGGGGGCACCCCAAGGGGGGCTGGGGACACCCCAACAGGGGCTAGATGGGAGTGGACATCGGTATGGGGGGGCTGCACCCTCAGGGACACCCCAAAAATGGGCTGGGGGCACCCCAAGGGGGGCTGGATGGGGGTGGACATCGGTAGGGGGGGTTGGGAACACCCCAACATGGGTTGGAGACACCCCAACAGGGACTGGGTGGGAGTGGACATCGGTCAGGGGGGGCTGCAACCCCGGGGACACCCCAAAAATGGGCTGGGGGCACCCCAATGGGGGCTGGATGGGTGTGGATATCAGGCAGGGTGGGGCTGGACCCCCAGGGACCCCCCAAAAATGGGCTGGGGGCACCCCAAGGGGGGCTGGGGGCACCCCAACGGGGACTGGATGGGTGGGGACATCGGTATGGGGGGACCCCCCAAAAACGGGCTTGGACCCCCACCCAAAGTCCCGGGGACACCACAAATATCCCTAAAATGAGTCCCAGGGACACCCCAAAACATCCCGAGGACCCCCTCTCAAACCCTGGGGACCCCCCCAAAATCCTGGGGACCCCCCCAAACCCCTGGGGACACTCCCAAAATCCTGAGGACCACCCTCAAACCCTGGGGACCCCCCCAAAATTCTGGGGACCCCCAAAACATCTCGAGGACCCCGCTCAAACCTTGGGGACCCCCCCAAAATTCTGGGAACCCCCCCAAACCCCTGGGGACACTCCCAAAATCCTGAGCCCCTCCATGAACCCCCACCCCACCCCCAGGATCCCCCCAAACTCCCGGGTCCCCCCAACACCTCCGGTCCCCTGGAATGGGGTTGGGGGGTCCCTGAGGGGGTCAGAGATCCCTGGGGGGGTCAGGGGGTCTCTGGGGGTGTTGGGGGGTCCCTGGGGGGGTTTGGGGGTCCCTGGGAGGGTTTGGGGGTCCCTGAGGGGTCAAGGGTCCCTGGGGGGGGGTCAGGGGTGCCCCCAGCCCACCCCCAAACCCCCGTGACCCCCCCTTAGGGCCGAAGCAGCGCCGGGGGGTGTCGGCCCTGTACCTGCACCCCAAATATGACCTGGGGGGCCGCCGGGCCCGGGGGGTCCCCGAGTTCTACGACTACGACGTGGCCCTGGTGCAGCTCGACAGGGCCGTCAGGAGCTCGGTCACCGAGCGGTGAGGGGGCCAGGGGGGGCTTTGGGGGGTTTTACGGTGATTTTGGGTGGTTTTAGGGCGATTTCAGTTGGTATTGGGGTGATTTTGGGTGGTATTGGGATGATTTTAGGGAGTATTAGGATGATTTCAGTTGGTATTGGGGTGATTTTGGTGGTTTTGGGGTGATTTTGGGTTGATTTCAGGTGTTCTTGAGGTGTTTTGGGGTCCTTTTGTGTTGATTTTGGTGGTATTGGGGTGATTTCAGTTGGTATTGGGGTGATTTTAGGGGGTTTTAGGGCGATTTTGGGTTGATTTCAGGTGTTCTGGAGGTGGTTTTGGGTCCTTTTGGGTTGATTTTGGTGGTATTGGGGTGATTTCAGGAGGTATTGGGATGATTTTGGGGGGTTTTAGGGTGATTTGGGATTTTGATTTCAGGTGTTCAGGTGGTTTTGG